GATGGGAAGGTATTCTTCAACCTTTGCACAAGTGAGTTTGATCCTTTTAAACTAGACATATTTGGAAGTACGTAGCAGAACCATCTATGATCCTTTATATATGTCTGAAAAATGAATAGGAATGCTGCAACACTGAAGCTGAATCTGTGAGCAGGGTGATGCAATTTCTACACTTTGTCTTTTAAGGTGTGAAATTTGCATATGTTAACTGGGAAGCTCTCAAGATGCTCTCTGCAAGATCCTGGTTCCTTGCATTACTTCTGGCATTTTGATGAGTTCCACAAGTTGTCTATGAAGAACCTAGCCCTGTGCCTTGCTCATGGTAGATAATAAGTAAATGTGAGTTCTAGTCCCCTTTGGAAAGTTAATGGACTTCTTATGTTTTCAGTCATTAGTTTTTCAGAGAAAGTACCACATTGTTCTCGTTAATATCACTGCAAAAAAAAAAAAACTTGCTGACATCCATAGGTCATTCATTCCACAAACATTTATTAAATGTCCTCAATGCACTTATTGTGCTCAGCCCTGGGGATACAGAGCTGAATAAAACAAGTTTCCAGCTGGAGTTAAGTTCATAATCATTTAAGAGAGAAAGACATGAAGATTTAAAGATGTAATACAATATGAATAAATTGTGTAATGGAGATATTCATTGATGTGAGAGCCTACCAGTTAACAGAGGAGGAAGCAAGTAAATCTGTCTGAGTAATTGATGTATGTGGTGTTGATTCCAGAGAGATCATCTTAAGGTTTTGTTAAGGTAGTTAAATAAGGGTAAATGTATGAAATGTGGTAATTACTATGATAAAAAATGAATATTTATATGTATATATCCACCATTTATAATGTTTAGTATGTTTTAGGAACCATATTAAGAAATGTAGTTATAATTAAAAACATACAAACAAAGATATCCCTTCAGAGTATGAGTATATGAATTAAAAAAACATATGTGTGCTCAAAGAAATGAGAAAAATAGGCTTAAAGATTACAAAATACTTGCCTACGGTCACACAGCTGGTTAAGTATTTCAGCCTCTAACACAACTCTTTTATTAGGTTCCTAACACATATTCTTAACTTGTATATTATATACCCCTTCTTAGGTCTACGTTTCCATATCTAACAACTAGGATTATTTTTGCCTGTGCAGTTTGTTTTTTAAAATGTTCTTAAATGAAAAGCCTATACTCCCACAAAGAAGGCATGATTCAATTTTCTCAAACCCCTCCTCAAATTCACATCACTTTTTCAAATAAAACAATACAACTGGTTGACACTCTTTTCACATAGATGCTCCTTATGCAAATAGCTTCCATAATTAACCTATTATATGAAGTTCTCACTCCTCAGTTAGGTAAAGTTAAAACATTATTTTCTATTGTTTTAGAGAATTTAGGCTACACTATGCATTGATTAGCTAATCCATGTTAGGATAGCAGTGTGCAGAATTTGCAGCTGTGGAGGATCATATTCCTTTTTTCTTTTTAATTGAATAACTTGGACATGGAGATAGCAGTGTATATAAAAACAACTACAAGCACTTTTAAGTAGAGCACCTGTAGTTAATTTTCTCTCCCATAATCACATTTATGAGACTACACATAAATAAGGTTAGTTCTTTACCAAATATTGGAAGTATCCCACTACATAATACTGTTTCCCTGCCTTGGAAAATGTTGGATTTAGACCCCAAGATATTGGTCTTCAAATGCCTTAGATATATAGAAAACACACAAGGAAGTTAAATGCTTATAAATAACCCGCAGTCAATTAGATCAAATTACTAATTTGTATTGATACCAATTCCTCTGCAATAAATGGCTGAGCCATGTTGGTTGATGTCCTGAAGCTCAGGTATTAACACTGATTTTGAAGTGTTTGTAGTCACTAGTGGGCTGGTCAAAGCTATAAATTTGAATTCATTTAGCTTGGTAAGTAATTTAAAATAAACTCAATAAAATTATTTGAAGATTTTTATATTATTCTATTGATCTTTTCTGAGTATTGGATTATTTCTATTGCATGCTACTTAGTATCTAATCTGAAACATTTTCAAGATAAACAACTGGCTAAATGTAAGACTATGTATAATCAAATTGAGTGTTTCATTTAATCAGAATCATGATGAAGACTCGATTTGTTAAAGTTGGCTTGAGGCTAAACATCTTTGTTTGAAACTCTGTCTCATTGTAAATGTGTAATACACAGAGTTCAAACAAAGTCCATTTTCAAGATGGTTTTGCATAAAAGCCACCTGGAAGACCAAAGTTTAAATTGGATTTATTTTGGAAATTCTGTCTGCTTTGTTGAGTGTTAGGTAGAAGAGAAGTTAGCACAAATCAGTTCAATGCTAATAATGTAATCCTATGTGATTCTACTACTTTAGAAATGAACCAACAGCACTTGGAAATTCAGATTCACTTTCAGAATAGGTTTTCACCTCACTGTTTAGTAGGTAGGATTCTAGTGAAGCAAGGAAGCAATAATTCTTAAAACTGCAGTGACATTTTAAATTTTATTTCAGAATCATTCATATTGAATATGAAAATAAGTGAACATACAGGAAATATTTACCTAAGGCTATATCTCTAGGTATCATTCTTCATGTCAAAATACTTTTTCTCTTTAGAGAAAAAGAGAATCGCATTAAATAAGATTTTTCATGCTATCAAGCTAGTTTTGAATTATCTGATGGATCTCGTCAGTCCACAGTTTAAAAATCCACAGCTTGTGCCCTTAGCAATCACTTTAAAAAAATTTTTTTAATCAAGAAGAGTAGAAAAATAATGCTTCCAAATTTAATACTTAACGCAATAGTATTCAATACTATTTTTTGGACGTTAACATATATAGTATATATAAACTATATTGGATCTTATTTTGAGTCTGGATAGTATGAGTACAACTGAATATTTAAGGACTTAGCTACATGGAAAACTTTACTTTGTGTTTTCTGCCCCTACATCAGATTGTAAATTCCTTGAAGGCTGGTTACATGAATTTTTTTTGCCCCTCATCAACAAGTTCTTTAGCTCCTCAAGTTTTAGCAGGATATTCTGCACATAGTAGAGACTTGATAAATGAATAATTTCTAACTTACAGAATATGAGACTAGTGAATGATATTCTCTGGAGATTATATCCATCTGACCCTTTCCTCATGCCTTTAGAAGCAAATGAAAGGTATTTAATTAATGGTGAGGTGGAAAGAAGCAAGAAAATACTGTTAATTCTATTTCATAAATCAATTAACAATATGACTGTTATTTTATTTCATCAAGGTAACATAACAAGTCTAGGCAGAGCAGCATAATTTGTATCTTCTTTCTCAGCCTCAGTTTTCCCTTAGAATAGGCTGCTGTTCTCTTCCACTTTATGAGGGGAAGTGATGAATATGTCAAAATAAATTTATATGTAGTGCTAAACACTTGTAAAAATAAAATCTTTTTCTGTACATTTTCCACAATTGTGTTATAGGATTGTATTGTGGAAATACTGTTAATCATAATAACTTCTATAGATTATGCAAATACATCACAAAGGCAAAGAAAACTGACATTTGATAAGGAAATAAAATGGATTTATTTGTCAAGAACATTTTGAGTGTAAGCTATTTCTGTATTCTTTCTCAACATCAAAGTTTATAGAACAAACTCAATTTTGAATAAGAAATGAAGAAAAGGGCCAATGGCAAAGTAATAACAGCAAAGAATATTAAAATTAATAATGTTGACTGAAAAGAAAAATAAAGTAATAGGTGTAAATATTGGAAGAGAATCTGGGAACCTAGTGGGGTACTGTCTATTATCTCTTCAGAAAACAGGAATAGGACAAATTACTCACATATATTGTTCCAGTTTATATGATAAAGAGGTGGAAATTCTTGTTCTTCATTCTTTCTTTTTTTGTTGTTTTTATTCCTTCTCCACTTTCCTTCCTTTGATTTTCTCATGTCTCTGGATGTTTAGTAGTTCTGTTCCACTTGTTTTGTTTTTTTGTCTTTTAATTAAAATTTATTGGGGTGACAAATGGTTAGCAAAATTACATAGGTTTCAAGTGTATAATTCTGTAATACATCACCTATATATTACATTTTGTGTTCACCACCTAGAGTCAGTTCTCCTTCCATCACCATATATTTGATCCCTTTTACCCTCATCTACCCTCCCCCTCCCCCCTTACATTCTGGTAACCACTGAACTACTATCTGTGTCTATGAGTTTTTGTTTATTTATTTGTCTTGTTCCTTTGTTGCTTTCAGTTTTATACCCCACATGTCAGTGAAATCATATGATTCTGGACTTTTTCTGTCTAACTTATTTTGCTTAGCATGATAATCTCAAAATCCACCCATGTTGTCACAAATGGCACTATTTCATCTTTTCTTATGACATAATAGTATTCCATTGTGTATATTGGTTTTTGAGCTCTTTGAAGGACAAAGAGTTTATAAATCTTGTTAACCAAATGATAGAAAATATGAAGACACAGTGATATAGCTTTATTGGGAAGAGATCTGAAACATAGAAATAAACAGGTCTGTTCAGTTTGGTGCATGATTTCCCTGTTGCATCTAACTACTTGCTTTTAGTAATCTGACTAAATTTAACTATAGATACTATCACATGCAAACAGAGCATATAAATATATCAAAAGTCACTTTGGATTGAATCCAGGGAAACTGGTTGCTAAGTCCTTTTACACAGACCTTCTTAGTAGCTTGAGAAGAATAAATTTGGAGAGATTATGATGAGAAAACCACAGAAAAACTTACTGAGGATATGAAAATTTATAACCTTTCTCCCACTACCCCCAACTATACAATACAAATATTCCCAATACATACAATCAGAATATTAGAAGATGCCTTAAAATTTTAAAGAAATGTTTTAATGAATGTTTAAAGAGATTTTATTTAATCCAAAATGTTGTTAACTTATGATTTTTAATTTATATTAGTTAAAAGAACTGTAGTAATCTCAGAAGAAATCTCAAACAAAATAGAATTGCTTTATAAAATAAACTCATAGTCAATATTTATCCTCTTTCTTACATTATAGAAATTCAGCAAATTATTTGTCATCTAAATCTATCCTTTGGTGTTACCCTGCAAGTCACCAAAATAAACTCATTTATTGTTTTCCAGAATAAGTGAACATAGTTGATGTGGTATTGATAGCTAATTAGTCACTCCTGAGCATATATCAGAATAGAATCCATGGGTTAATATCTGCATTCTTATTTTTTTCTGATAAAATGGCTAGCTACTAATGTATGAATAACTAATACTGGAAAAAATAACTAAAATATGAAGTCTATGGGGAAAATACATAGAATTCCATCTTTGAAACAAAATGTTTTGAATTTCTAATTACAGGCTTTGCATCTTTTTTCTTCATTTAATCGAAGCAACAAATATTAATGGGTTTCTTGCATGTACTAAAAGCTACCAATGCTATATTGGCAATGAATCTATCAACTCATATGACAGATTCAAGATTAAATTCTTATACCTTCCATGACATTTTGAAGTAGCCCATTTTTGTTGTGGGAGAAAGAAAGACGAAAAGGAAAGGTCATAGAATTCTTATCAGTCAGTCATATTGTCCTGTAAAATAGAAATGTCTGTTTAATGTCAGTGAACAACTCAGATGGGGATTCATGGGTTATTTGTTGGAGCAAAGCATCTTCACCTCATTTTGCACATCGAGGCTTATAATCCTTTAAACTTTGCAATGATGGAAGACTCATTTGCTAGATGTATCCTCTGTGCAAGGTACGTCATTTCCGCTTTTCAAGCCTCCTCCTTCGGTAACTATCAATAAAATCTCTTCATATCCAAGAACAAATTGCCATATCTGACTGTCATCTGAGAAAGTAAGGCTTTGCATTAAAAATTTTATCAGCGACATGTAGAATTCTATGTTTAATTGGAAGCATAATCATATACAGTAGACTACAATCAGCATTTAAAAATAAATGCTTGTGTATCTCATACTTCTCACAAAACAATTAGCTATTCAAAAATTCTATTAGGTGTAAATATTTGATATTCAATACTTCATTTTAGTCAAGGGGCCTATTTTAGTCCACCTTTATGGTGGTAGCCATAGATTTTAGTTGCCATGTGAATAAGTAATGCTTTAATTTATTGCTATATCAGTTTTTAACATACATTTTTCTATAGGTATTCAAACCTTAAAGAAGACAACCTATAACATGTTTTCCCCCTAGAAACTGTTTTGTGCAGCATTCACTAAGATGATTTTTTCTAACTGGCTTTGTGCTAATTTTATGCTAATTTGGCGTAAGAAGGACTAGGTTTTATTAAATCATTTGCAAATTATGCACTTGAAGTATCTACTTACATATGTTTTTGTGCTAAAACAATCTTTTTATGTTTAGATATGCTGAGAATTCTCTTTTACATTCTTAAGTATATGTTGAAATACCTTGCTTTATAAAATGGATTTTTTAGGTATTTGTATATGTGGCCATAATTGTGTGTGTGTGTGTGTGTGTGTGTGTGTGTGTCCAAGGTCAGCCATAAAACCATGTTATTGCCAGTGATGTCAAATTAATCAATAATCATATAAACAACTTATTCATAGATAAGTCACCCATTAATTTAAGAAACTGTAGGAAATTAGATTTCATTATACATTCACATAGTTTGACTAAATGAAATATTTGATGTTAAACATGATTATTAATAGTTAATAAAGAGGGTTTTTTTTTCCCTTCAAGATGCTTTTACAGACTTCTAATGCAACAAAAATTCTGACAGAAGGCAAAGAATAAAATAGTCTGGAAAAAAGAAAGGGCACTTGAAATCATAATCTAAAACTTGATAGGCTTCTGGGTAGAAATGGACTCCTTATGTACAGCTGTGTCTTAAGGAAAGCAGCTGACCTTCAGGAACACTCTAAGCCATTTATCCCCAGGTTTCGTACCCTGGTTTATGACATCAGATTTGTGTCACAATGTATTTTCCATTGCTTGCTGTTGAGAGTCCTGGGCTCCTAGATTTGCATGGGATCAAATCTGCATCCTCCTTTATGACTTCATAGATACTTCTTTGCTTTTATAATTTGCCTTTGTACATTCTTATATAAGAAAAACACTTTACAATTTATGCTCATTATCTAGTGTAAGCACAGTAGAAATATTTGAATCTTGAATTGACCTGCAAATCAAAGATTATCTATACTTTTCTTATTTTCTTCAAGTGGTGTCATCTTGGAACTTAACGCTGTCCTCAAAGACACACATTATATTAGGTTATGGCCATAGAGATTACATGAAACAGGAAGACAGTCTACATCTATGCCAGAGAGATTTTAAAAGAGAATAATGGTGATGTCAGTCAGAACCTCATTTTCACTTCAGAGCCATGCGTTTTCTTGTTAGAGTAATTTATTGTTTCCATTCCCCCCACCAAACTCTGACATTTATCTGTTTATTCGCACACCACTCACCTGAATTCCTCATGCCGAAACAAAAAGCTTGCTTAAGTAATTGAAGCAGTCTTGTCACTTCACTTCTTACAACCTCTAACAGTGAAGTGTGGGTTACCAGGAACCAGTGATTCAGCTCCTGGCTTGTTCACAAAATCAAAAAGAAAGCAAAACAAAACACAAAAATAAATATTGAATATTTATTCACACACAAAAAAACTAAAACAAAATACAAAAGTAAATATTACATATTTTAAGCCAAGGGCTCTGCTAAACTAGTAAATAGCAGGAGTAAGATTCTAATTCTGATCTATTTGACTCCACAAGCCCAGGAACTCAATCAATACTCTGTACTGCCTTCTCTTCAGTAACCTTCAAAAATCAGATTACGTGCAGGGATTGAGACTGCTCATCTATGAGATGTTTTAACTCAGGAAAATCAAACTCACCAAATGATAATGGACAAATAAAGTATGGGACCCTGATCATAGTCAGCACCACTGGCTTCTTGACAGTTGTCAAAATGTTCTGCAGATTTGCTCTCCTAAAGTGAAGCATTCATCAAAAGATCTCTAAGTATCTGACATATATGGGCATTAGTGCATAATTGCAGCACAGTGCATGTGGCTATAGCTGATAGAGCTCATAGCATCTTAAACCTGGAAACTTTTTGCCTAGACCTTTGTGAAATGAACATTAATGCATGCATTTATATAACTAAAGGTATTGTGTACTTATTGGGTTGTCAGAAAAATCATGACACATTTTTGCAATGGAAAACATAGGAAAAATACGTCATGACTTTTCCTACAACCCAATATATACTAATCCATAGATAAAGTATATAGCCTAAATAATGACAATTTCTTGTTTGTATATTTAAATTTTAACAATTCTGAGAAAAGATCTGATTCTTGTTGCTTTTAATATTTCTAACAAATCACGCTTAACTTTTTGTGAAATAATAGCCAATCTAAGGTAAAATTTAAAAAATGATTCTAAGTGGTCAAAGTAAAATATACACACCTGCTTGAAGTTCATCTAACTATTTACCTAAAAGTGACTATATTTTGGCATATGATCTCAGTGATTCTAACCTTGGCCTCTTCAGCCATTTCTCCATAAAGCCACCAGAGCCATCTTTGAAAAACCAAAGGCAGATCACATTACTCTACTCCCAAACCACGAATTGCTTCCCATTCCTCTCAAAGAAAGTTGAAACACTTTATCAGAACCTACAAAGCCCTGTACAACGTGCCGCTCCTCTTTGCATTCCTTCTCTGACCCCCTTTTCCTAGTTCTGTCTCCTGGTCTCACTCAGGTCCAACCACATAGACCCGCTTGCTATGTTTTGAACATACTACAATTTCAAGGCCTTTGTTCATTGTATTTACTCTCCCAGAAAACTTAGCACCCAGATCAATACATAGCTGTACATGTGATAGTTAGAATAATGCACCTCCCAAAGTGTCTGTGTCCTAATTCCTGGAACCAGTAAATACGTTATTTTACATGGCAAAATGGATTTTGCAGGCAATGGGCCTTGAGATGGGGAAATTATTGTGGATTAGCTGGGTAAACCCGATGTAATCACGGGAGTCCTTAAAAGCAGAGAACCTTTTCCAGCTGTAGTCAGGAGATGATTCTCCCACAGAGCTTCCAGAAAGGAACATAGCCCTACTGATACCTTGATTTTAGCCCAGGGAGACCTATGTCAGAGTTATGACTTACAGGACTGTATGTGATAAATGTGTGTTGCTCTAAGCAACTTGCTTTGTGGTCATTTTTTACAGCAGCCATGGAAACTAATACACTACCCTCAGCTCTTTCAGGTCTGTACTAAAAATGTCACATTTTTAGTAAAATTTGTCCTGTAGATCCTAATTTAAATTTTTAGTGCCTTATGTTCTTTACATGACTCTCCGCTGTATTTTTACCATAGCACTTGCCAATATCTATACCTATATTGATACTGATGTAGATTTGAAGATATATGTCTATAGTCATTATTTGTCTCCCTCCACTAGAATATTAGTTCTATCAGACCAAAAATTTTTGTTTTACTTTGTGTTGTTTTTAAATGATGTATCCTCACTGCATACAGCAGTTTCTAACACACAGTAAATGTTGGATAAACATTTGTTGGTTAAATACAAATGATTTTTTTTGTGGATTTTAGTTGATGATTAAGTTAACTACATAGGGAAATTTGACAATTGACTCTAAAGTAGATTGTTTAATAATTAAAACCACACCCTGTCCTGCCTGGCAAATATAATTTATGTGTGTAAATAATGATTTTGTTTATATCTATAAACATTTGCTATCTCTTTCCTAACTTCAGGGGAAAAAACTGTACTTTATATAAATTCCTGTAGATTTACATTTATAACTTGAATATAAATGAAGCAGAATAGCTTATCAGTAAGTATGTGTGTAAAAATTGTAGACCCGTGAGCATTCTGTTGTTACATTTATTTTCATGCAATTGTACTTCAAAACATATCCATTTCACCCATATCATCCAGTATTCTCTTCTTGTGTCATGAAATATTTGTGCACTGATCGACAACGAAAATTGGCATGTTTCTGTAGGCTTTCCATTTCACTGCTGGCAGCTTTTGAACTTGTATAGACTACTTTGCAATTCAAAGGGGGAAGAAAGAACCTGTGAGTTGATTTCAAGCTTCTGAGTAACCTCTGTTCAGCACGATTACTTACAATGATCACAGGTCCACTGTTCTTCAGTACTTAAAAGACAATAATCCCTAATCAGGTACATCTGTTTCAAGAACTAAAATTACCTCTATTTTACAAGATTAACTCCTTTTGAACCATCTTTTCAACTGAATTCTACCCCTGCAAAGCTCTTTTGTGTTGGTTCACAAATAAATAATGTTGAATTTCCTTGCCTTTAGAATAAATTTTCAGGAATAACTCAGTCTGGGTTCAAATAAAAGATGATGTAATTTAGCTTCATATAAACTAATGATATTCAATTTCATTTAAAAATATTTTGTTTTGGGCCGGCAGAGTGGCTCAGTTGGTTAAGAGCTCACTCAAGAGTTTGAGCTCTGAGCAACAGCGGTTTGAGTCCAGCCCGAGCTGAGCTGCCAACAGGTGGCAGGATGGGTCAGCTAACAAAAAAAAATTTTTTGTTTCACCTAAATCTATGAAGTGCACTTAATAGTAAGTTTAACTTTTCCACCCTTTCTTTAGCTATTTTTAAAGTTCAAATTGAGTAATTCTAAGATTTATATGCTATACACAGTTTCATCATAAGGGCTATCAATGTCATTTATAGTGTAATACTAAATATATTACTTTCACATTTGAATAGCATACACGGACTTGGGCCAAATTTTCTAACACAGTGATCCAACATCGCATGCTCATTTACTGCAAGTACCATAAATAACAGTTATGAGGTGAGATGCATTTTTACAGCTCCCATCATAATTCTACACTGTGATTGCTCCCTTCATCCAGGCAAATGTGACTGAAGTGGAGCTTCCATGGTATTGGGTACAGGAGAGATTCATTCACCCTGATTTACTGGCACATCGACTATTGACTTAATGAAAGGATGCTATGGTACCTTAAGATCATCATTCCATGCCTAGATATTGCCTATAAAGCATCACATAGATTATGGAGAAGAGTTGTGGAGTGTTTATGTGGAAACCTCTGTTATTTTCAAAGAGTGGGAAATTGGGGGGAGTAACTCAGTCCAACTAGAGGATCATACCTTCAGTTGGAAAGAAAGTTATTTCCAGTTGCCCTACAATGAACAGAGAAATTTTATTATCATCAAGATTTTCTACTTTATACAATAAAAATACGAGTTTTGAAGGTGCAGTATGTTATTTTCATACTCCATCTATTGACTTTACATCTTAAATTAATTGGGGCTTTTGCCTAGAATTAACCTGTTTCTATCAACACCATAGAATTAGACAGAGAAAAGGGATATTAGAAAGAACACTATACACCAACCCAACCCTTTCATTTGACAGATGAGAAAACTGATGCCAAGTGAGTTTTGATTACCCCAATTTATATAAACTAGAACTGGAATGTAGATCTCTCAATTCACAGCATAAAGCATGTTCTATCTCCTTTAAACTTCCCTTATTATAAACTATGTCTTGCAAATTTTATTAAAAATACAGGATTTAGTGTAGGTTGTTTTTCACCATGAAGACAAGTGTTGGTGTTGACATATATAGTCAGTGAGAAAACAGACATTTGAAATTAGCTGAATTTATAATACAGTCATCAAGGAAATCATCAAACATTAGTAAGGTACTCAGTGAAAAAAAAGTTCAGCTTGGTAGAGTTTTAAAAGTCTTGATAAATGTGAGGTCAATCAGTAAAGTAATGACAGTTGTGTTCTTATGTGGCTTGTAGGTTGGCACTGAAGATTAATCTGAAAGAGAAATAGCAATATGTTGTGAACAATAGCAGCGATATTGAAATAAATAGTACCTATTTATGTTAGTCTGTAACTAGAGTTCTAATTAATTAGTAATTTTTATTGATTTAACTTTCTAAAAGGAACTGTTATTCTTGTAGTCTTTATCTCCCTTGGCATCTGATAAAATCCAGGCTTATTACTTTTCAGGAAAAAAAAAGATTTTGAAGGAGAATCTCATCTATTAAAAATAATGCAAAACAAACAAAACTCTCTTTACTATATTTGAAGGCTACAAATAAAAGATACGCTGTCAAGTTTTATTACCATGATATTTTATTAAAACATGACAGTGTAATGGTGTCCTCATTTATGAACTATAATATAAATTATTGCAAATTTCTGAGAATCCTTGCATTTTTTGCAAATCCCATATGATCTGATATAGGTAGTCCATGTTTTATGTCTGGCTCATAGATATTTGGTTTGGTCATGACGAAGCATTAGCAGCCTAAGGATCTATTTGGAAGGGTACAGGGAGATAGTCTAGATTCATATTGCCATATTTTTGAACCTTTGTAACTGACCACTGCTATCAAGGAAATGTGCTACCTGATCTTGAGACTGTGCAAATATACACTGTTTCACAAATCTCCATATAATCCTTGTGAATTCAAAAGACACTTTAAATGTTACCTTAAATACACCCAAGTGTTGCTATTTCTATAG